GAATTGGTCCATGAGCACATTCTGTGCAAGTTTTCTCAAAAAGTGTTTCTAAAAGAGAAACAAATCCTGCAAATGAAACAGTCTCATGGAAGCACAGTAGCAGTGGGTGGATTTATGGATTTCAGAATGGCAATCAAAAACTATTGTTTTTAAATGGCAATATGTTTCCCAAGTGCTCATTACTTTTAAAGCCCACCTTTCGGAAGGCTACAGAAAGATTAGCAGCTACAAATGTTGCCGTGTGAAAGTAGAGGACACAGTTACTAGAGCACAATTTTGATTTGGAATCAGAATTGCCCTTATTCATGAAAATCCTCACAGAAACTGAAACCAGGGAAACAATGAAAAGGAAAAATCGCCCATATATGGCAATCAGTTTTGACACGAGGCTCATCAATAGCCCAGTCTTTCCAAGGCACATCATTATCTATCTGATCTGCCAAATCCGATACTTAACAACATTGTCTTCAGAACAGTTGACACAGCCTGGAAAAGTCTATCTTGTAAATCACAAAGAAAGATGACAGGTTTCACAGATCTCATCAGTGATAAAAAGAAAGGAGGCATAAAAGAGCAGATGCCAGTATACTTGCTGGCACAATGAACTGAATGAACTATATGTATTTCAAGGAGGGAAAAAACCTCTATATCACAATTTTTATTGAGGCCCAGTAAGAAACCACTGGCTTTTTCTCCCCATGCTAAAATGCCAGATATGTGTGATGGGGAGGAAGGCAGCAAATCACACTGCTATGTGTGTACCTATGCAACAATCTTCCATGTTCTTCACATGTACCCAAAACCTAAAATGCAATTAAAAAAAAAAAAAGAAAGAAACTACTGGCTTAATCTATTTATCTCAGCTCCTAACTAAACTGAGTTTTTGAAACATAAAGACAAATGATCACGCAGATGGGATGATTTTGTGGCATAAAAAAGTGGTGTGGAAGGCTGAATCAGGTCAGCAGGGTAGACATGCTGCAGCTTCTTCCACCTACCCCAAATCCATAGAATTAACAAAAATAAAAGAGGTTTTTTAAAAAGAAAAGGAATCCACAACTATATGCAAAATAAGTACATTCTGTGAACCAGAAACTACAAGGAATCCCCAAAAGCAAGAAACAATTGTGGGCAGCTGGATGGAGGGAAACCACAGCTTGACATACTCAGGGAGAGGACTTGCTAAATATGAAACCAGGGGCATCCTAAGCTCACAGGTAGCTGATGCTGGGAGCTGGAAAATGCCGAGGACAACTGACCTAATGGGTTCAACCAGGCTTCTGTGAAAGCAGCCAGTCTGGCCAACCCTTCTACACTTCTCCTACTCGCCAACCTTGGACCACCCAGAGACAGCATAGTGTCTGTTCCATGACATGAGTGGTAAGTGTGGACAGTCTCAAGAAGCATGGCAATGTGCCCAAGCCAAACCAGGGGGCACTCACATCCAGAGACCAGCTGGTGACAGGCTCATCCCACCCTTCCCTGCAATGGCTCTTTAGAAGTGCTTAGAACTTTAGAAGAGCAACAAATATCCTGAGAAAAACACAAGAATGGCAATATACTTCCATTTAAAAGTATAGCAAACTTAGAAATTAAAATTGCTTTCAATAAAATTAAAAATTCAGCTGATGGGCTGAACGGATACAGCTGAAGAGCAACTCGCTGAGCGGGAACACCAGTCACATAATTCTTCTAGAAGGCAGTGCAACAAAGAAAAGCCTTAAGGGTATATAAAAAACAGAAACAGAAGGGCAAATAGATCTAGAAGACTTTTAGAAAAAAGAATAGAGAAAGTGGACAAAGGAATACTAACAACAAATACAAAAGGAAATTTCCCAGAATTCAAAAGATGTATCTGACTGAACAGGATTACCAGAAAAATACCAACTCCTAAACATATTCTGGTAAAATTTCAGAACACCTACGATGATAAATATCTAATAAATTAATAAATAAATAATAAAAGAAGGGGAAAGGGATTCTAATTAAAATCCCAATATAATCAAGGCACTGATATAAGTACCTACTCAAATGGTCAAAAAGAGTATAAATGACACCCTTCCTTCCCACCTGACCTTTGAGATCACTCCAGGTAACATCAATACCAACATCAAAAATCTGTTCACCCATGCATTGGACCTCTACTCCACTGCTGTCCTCTCTACCCACTTCAGTGAACTATGTAAATACAGTTCTTTAGATCACTCCTTGGACCTCATCAAGATCTAGAAATGTTCCACTACATTCCTCTCTGCTTACAAACCCCAAACCTACCACACTTACCCTTAAACTGGATTTTTAATCTCAACACTTGCAGTCATTTGACTTCACCCTATTTCCTCAGGCCATCAGGTCGGCAGTCCTGATTCAACTTCCCCCAATTTGCCTGGATCCCATGATAATGTCTGTGGATATTTCACTGGGAACTTCTATTAATTTTTCACATATCCTTGTGCCATGCCTACTAGTGAATTCTCAGCTAGAATCAACCCATTGCATCATGACAGGTCTACATTCCTGGGCTGCTGAGCCCACTAAGACATGGCATAACCATGTCAATTGGCTCTATTGCAAATACCTCTATCCACACATGGATCCTTGATGGCCTCAAAACTGTCTGGCAGTTCTTTCTTCATCTCTGGTCAGTTCCTATTTCCAAGCTTCATAGATGTCGTCCAAATGTCCACCATTCTTTAAACGTTCTCTAGTTGCCCCAAGTCCCCTCACTCCCAATAAAAGACTCAGTACATAATCAGGCTTTTCTTTAAGATATTTTGTGAGCTATTTTATTAGTACACAGGAAGGTATGTTATATGTCAAGATACAGCGGTTTAGAAAAACATTTTCAATGTAAAACAACATCTCCTTCATCATCAAGATTAACACATCCTTCCAATTGTACTACACCGTACCAGTAACTCTCTGCCTGAAACTTCCTCCTGCCTTGGCTTCATCCCATCACTCTTCTGGTTTTCCTCCTACTCTTGATTGCTCTTCTCTTTTCACCATAACATGCTCCCTATGTGATTTCATCTACTCCTAAGGTATCATTTACTACTGTCACATGCTGATGACTCCTCATTTACATCCAACATCCCAGACTCAAATATCCAAGTGCTTACAACATCTTTATCAGATGAGCCCTACAGAACTCAACCTCAACATATCAAACCAAACTTGTTAACTTTAGCCACTCGCCTGCTTCTCTACGTAAGAGTTTATGGAAATATCCACCTAGTTTCTCAAGATAAAAAAATGAACTTACCATTGACTCTTTCTCATCCTTAACCTTCACACCCAAGTCACTAAGTTCAGGTGATTTTATTCCAAAATGTGCCCCTCATTCTTCATTTCCAATGTCATAACCCATCTCGTCTCTCTCACCTGGAGTCTCCCCATTATTTTATGCATAACTACACTAATGAGTGGCAACCTGGGCTGCATATCAGAATCACTTGGGGAAATTTTTAAAAATCCTAATGCTCAGGGCATACCCCAGACTAATTACATCAGAGTCTCTGAGGGTAGAACCCAGACACCAGCATTTTCTATAGGTCCCAAGTGATTCCAATATGCAGGCACATTTAAGAATTTTCCAGAATTGAAAACATGAGCCTACAAATTGAAAGTGCACACCAAATACCCAGCAAAAATAAAAATAAAAACAAATCTACAACTAGCCAAATCATAATGAAACTGAAAAATGTTAGAGGATAGAGAGAAAATCATGCAAATATCCTAGAGTGAAAGATAGATTACCTAAAAAGGAAAGAAAATTATGGTAATGGCCTACTTTTCTGCAACATTAGGTGACAGAAGACAATGAGTTAAAAAATCTTCAAAGTACTGAGGGAGGGGGAAAATAAAACACTATGAACCTAAAATTCTACAGCCTGCTAAATTATTCAAGAATGAAATAGACCTTTTCAGATACACAAAGCTAAGGCTCTACTATTCAGACCATCACTGGAAGAACTACCTTACACAGAATATACTTCATTATAAAGGTAAGTGAGCCAACAGGAATACAGAAGTATTTATTGCTATTAACCAAGTCTGGCTTCTGCCTGGAAAATACAAGATGTATGAAATATATACATCATTGAGAGGTCCCAATGTCCTTAATAAAGGTAAAACAGTTCAGTGCAATAAATAAATTTTACATTAAAAGTATTAGCAGGGCTCTGGCTAATTTGAATTGTTTTCTTACGTTTCTAAAATGTATTCCCAGTTTTCAACTGTGCAAATTTCTAAACTTTAAATAATAAAAGAAAACACTGCCAATATAGCAATGTTAAAAAGTTTCCCATTTTCTTTCATTGAAAAAAATAGATTTTATACATTTATATATTTATCAAAATATCAAAACAATTTTATTTTTTGCTATCTTATTTTCTAGATGACCTAAAAATAATTAAAGAATTCCAATGACAATCATTCAATCTCATCAATACTATATACAGTTGACCCTTGAACAACACGGTTTTCAACTGTGTGGGTTCAGTAATATGCAAATTTTCTTCCACCCCTGTGACAGCAAGACCAAACCCTCCTCCTCTTCCTCCTCACCCTACTACTCAATGTGAAGACAGCATGAGTGAGGATGGTCCACTTCCACTTAATGAATAGTAAATACATTTTCTTTTCCTTACAATTTTCTTAATAACATTTTCTTTTCCTTAACTTACATTATTGTAAGAATACAGTATATAATACATATAACCATATACAATATGTGCTGATCAACTATTTATTATCAGTAAGGCTTCCAATCAAGAGCAAGCCATTTGTAGTTAAGTTTTGGAGGAGTCAAAAGTTATACATGGATTTTCAACTATGTGGGGAAGTGGTGTCCCTAACTCCTGTTGTTCAAAGGTCAACTGTATTTCGTTTCTTTCCACCATTTCTTGGTAACTTCAACCATACATGTTAATTTTATTAGATTAATCCACAGTACCATATTCTAAGACTTACCACAAGGAAGAAAAACAGACTCTTAACCCAGATGATAATTACATATTTAATACATGTTGCTTTTAACAGCAATTTTTAAACACGTCATAGACCTTATAACTTATTAAGGATTTTATAGTACTTACAAAGTTGATTCTAAAAATATACCTTATTTGTTCTAAATGAATAACATTATCTGGAAGATATAATAATAAATTATAGTAGTATGTTTTCCTCCACAATAGTTAAGATTGTATGCACATATTCAAAATAAAATCCTCTTAGGATTTTTCACACCTTCAGCCTGAAAACATAAAAGCAGATTAAAGTTTGGCATACAAGATCTCAGTCTGACAGTAATTGTTTTAAAACTAAAAATGTAAAAATATCTATTCAACAGTCTAGGAAGGCATGGGCACATGCACAGACACATTCTCTCACACACTCACTCTGACACGCACAAGTGTGCACACATACACAAATCCCAGAGTACTCAAAAGATCTTGCCCTTGTGGATCAGACAACTGCCATCAATTTCAAAAACTGATGGAAAAAATTAGCTAAGAATATGTTTAAACCATATTTAAGTGTTGCTAGGTGCCATAAAGATCTTTAATATGCAGAGGATGCCATCTCAATACATTCTTAAACAGACTTGAACTGTTCACTAATGGACATATGAATAAGAAATTGTGTACCCCATCCACTTCCCAGTCTGCATATAAGATGAAAAACTAGGCATTCCACTAACAATGAGTCATATGACTGAACCCAGTGAAAGCTAAAGTGGTTTGCTTCATAGAACCCAATAGATGACAGAACCCAACAGAATTAGAAACTTCATTTTGATCTGTTTGGAGTTTCCTACATGCTTCATGTGCAAAAGCAATGAGATTCTGTATTGCAAATGACAGCTAATATCACTTTGCACTTTTGTGGCACTGCAAGAGGTCACTGTATTTCCAAAACATATATTTATTCTAATTAAATACTCTAATGGTGCTTACTTTTTAATTATATAGTGCTCCAAATATAGAACCAAAACAATTTAATGCTGATAATCTCTTCTGCTCATCACACGTACTTCCAGTAAAATCCATCAAAACAGAAAATTACTCTTTGGGCTGTTTCCAGTAATGCAGGTTTGAAACCAGAAGTTCATTTTCACCCTGTATCAAAGCTCTCCAAACTCTATGAAACATTAAAATAGAAACTAACCACATATTAGGGCACTCATACCTCATACTGCTGTGATTAGAATAATATAAAGGCACAACAGTAAGCTAAAGAGAAAATACCAGCTTCCCATATGCTTTTTGTTTGTTTTTGGCTTTCCTCTTATTTTATTTCACTAAGTTTACAAATTTTCAAAGCATTCTTAAACTCTGCATGACAGGAACAGTATTTTGGCACGTTAACATTGTGATACAATGTATGGCATGTTTAAAAAATTAATTTAAAAATTTCACCTATTAATCAACACTTTTTAATGTAGTACATATATATCTTACAGTTATTTAAGTCAAATACATAAAGGTTTGTAACTGATTTACAGATGAAGCAATCACAGATTGCAGTAATATGTGTGTGTATACACGTATATTTACCCATACATACACACACATCCATCAAGGGAAAAACTGCATCCTGGCAATTTTACAGTCTGAAGTTTTGTTGGTATATCTACCATTTCACATCCTTGTCATCTTGTTTTTCTGTACAAAAGATATTTTTTTGCCTTCTTCATTCCTGATGAGATTTTTCTGCGATAACTTTACACTCATACTGCAAAAATTAAAAGGTTAACAGATTAAGATTTCTTCTAAATAGCAACATCCAAATACACTAAAAAGCTCTAAAAATGAACAGTTTATGAATATGTGCTCATTTATTCCTCAAAGAATCTGAGAGTTACATAATTACTATGATTAAATGACAAATGTGACAGGGAAAAAGATAATTCTTTTTCCACAGTCAAAAGCAGGAGAAACATGAGATTTCTGTATTACAAGCAAATTGTGGCAGTATATGATTTAGAATTTAGATCAATCTTTTAATATGAAAGGAGGCAAAGTAGGTTTCTTTGAGTACTCAGTAAGGCAAATTGCAAAGAATAGTGCATGAACTTAAGGACAGGGCTGTTGTGGTGAACTCAGATCACCGTATTTTCAAATCACTTTATAACATAAAGAAAAAATCTTTTACACTAACAAAAGCTTCCAGTCAAAATAATATTCTTAAAGTACAGCTATAAAAATGTACACCCACAATTCAAAATAAAGGAAACCAATAGGGTAAGATAATTGGTTGGTTATTTTACCAAAAATACAGCAAAGTAAATCACTCAATTCTCCTAACCTGGCTAAAAAGGTAAAAGTGACAGCATTTATTCATAAAACTGCTGTGGCCTCTGAATGTCACCCCCTAACCCTTGCCATCCACGACTGGAATTGTCAACAATGTCCTTTTCCTTCATATCTAAAATGATCAAATGTATTGATTTGTTAGAGACAGTCCTAATTTATACCTATTGTAGCAACACAGTTATTAATGGTGACCTTTTTAACTTTTAAAACTGTCCCTTTTTGATATAGTGGAAACCTGTAGATTAGTTTTTTAAAAGCCACTAATATCCCCATATGGTCAATAAATCATATTGCCCTATCCATAACACATTTTGAGCTTTTCTCTCCAGTGGCTCCTCAACTTTTGAAACACCTGTGGTTAAATTCTTCCAAATGATTTATTTCACTGCAAGTGCAAAAGAGAAATCAAAGAATGTTGTCTTCACACATTGCTTTCCCTTAAAGGACTACCATTTAGAGAAAATTCGTCATACATCTGATTCAGAAAAGTGATTAATAAGCATCAGCTTACCATTGCCAGTTGTCGACCAATGTTTCCCATTGTTATGCCTCCAGCAAAAAATATACATGGTAACCAAGAACGAACATAGAGGAAATCTGGAGATGTATATCTGGAATAAGAGACATGTCTTTAATATCCACACAGCAACTGCAAGGACACTTAAGATCATTACAATGAAAATAAACTACTCTGTAGATTAAACTGGCTAACTTCATTTCATAATCTCAATTCTGAAAGCAGCTATCATTTAATTTATCTAGCAAACAAGCACCAAAAGAATTAAGAATTAATACTTACTGATAAACACCATTATATACTAGCAATTGAGTGACCACGGTTGCCAAGAAAGCGATTCCTACTCCAAGGCCAAAACCACTTCTAGATCTATCAAAAGTCCACCACAGTCCAATGGATAGTGCAGCCAGTGTGAGAGACAGCTGTATGTTGTTATCAAAATCCACTTTCTGAGATCAGTGTTAAGAAGTCATCTTAAAACTTATAGCCAAACAGTATCATCTGTTCATTTTTCTAAATAAGAGATGCCTCTGTTGAAAAGAGAATTAATTGCTTCTACTCAAGTATATTCAGTCTCTTAGTACAATGTACAAAGCTAGGTAGGATTAAAACTGTCTCTGGTATTTACTTAATACCAGATACACAAAAGACATTAATCAATAGATGCTACCAACCTGTAACTCCTCAAAAAAAAAAAAAAAAAAATCTACATACCTTCCCAATTATAAGGCCTTACCCATTATTTAAGAAATGCTTTCTTTGCTAAAATGGTAACTGGAAGCCTCAGAACGCAAGTATCGCTAAAGGAACACACTTTTGCAAAAAAAGGAAACCAATATTACTTCTCCAACAGGTTTAGAATTACTTGAGAATGATACAGGAACTTGAAAATAGAAGAGTTGACAGCTATTTAACAGGGTACCACATTCTCTCTATGATTTACTGACAGACACATTTTATAATAATGCAGTTCAGAAACAAGAGTACCAAGGACACAGTATCCCTTTCTATTATGTCAACTGTTCTAGTTTTAATTTGTTGAGGATAAAGCCTTGAAGTGAACATTATCTTACAACCTGCCAAGCTATTTTGGTGCCTGAGACTTTCTGGTATAGGACAGTTTGCTCAAATGATATTTTATTTTCATCACCTACTTAAGCATGTATTCACAAATGTATGGCCCTTTTCTACACCAAAATCTCTGGGTAAAATGAAGCTTTACAAATTCAGTTTTCTCATCTCTGTGCTAGAGGATTACAATAAAGAAATTAATTTCAGTTGTCATTAAAAGGGCATTATCTATGTCCCAAAGGCCACATCTTGGCTCTATAACCAGTTACTGGGGAAGCCAGGGGAGATTGGGAGGAACACATATCACCAAACTAGCCATGCTACAAGTATAGAGAAGTCCAAAAAAAAAAAAAAAAAAAATGCATACAAAGCCATTTCCCACTTCCTTTATCACTCTGTTTTTTACCGTTTCCCCACCCCTACCAAGCCAGTATCCTAAACACCCAGCTTGCTTATTTCTCAGCATCTCAGGACTATTGTAAGCAACTCCCTCAAAGTCCTTCCTTGTTAAGGCTTGATTTAAAAAGAAACCTACAGTTCATATGGGTATGCTTTCTGGAAAAGCTTTTCTAATTCTTTAGCTGTCATTATACTTAAAGTTCAAAGAAAAGGTTTAGAGCTCTAATTTCCCTATGAAATAAACACTCACGTAAAGAGTGGAATTTGGTATTAAATGAGTTTCATGTTTGCTAACTAAACTTCATTGACAGTCACAGTGAAGCATGGAGGCTTCCAGAGTAAACTGATATATCAATCTTAAAATACTGCCATATGATTTTGTAAAGTCTAAGTAACCTAATATTAGAAGTGCATGCTATAAATTTGGTAAATACTTTGGACTTTGCTTAAAGGACAACAGAACATCTAAGATTGCTGTATTTAAGTATTTCATTGAGAAAGAAAGTAAAAAAAGCAAAGAATTTATTAAGTTTTTACAATTTCAGAAAAGGCTATTTATATTTCTCGGCTTAAAAACAAAAACCAAAGTGGAATGTCTGAGAGAAAGGTCTAATCCACCCGATAGGAACTGACACAGTTATGAGGCTCCTGGGTAAGAAAATGAGATGTTCTTAGACTTGAGTCAGGCTCTCTAGGGACCGTTCTCAGCTCTGCTGCAACGTCGCAGTATAAATGACTTAGTAAATTACCTAACCTCTCTAGCCTCCATTTGTCTTATTAACTTTACAAAGTAAATGTGGAACTAGGTGATTTCTAAGTTCTCCTCTAGATATAATAGTATATGATCTTATCTTTTTCAGCCCTCCTAACTACTAGATATTTTATAAAATCTTAAATCTCAAAAAGTTCACCAAAATAAACATGTGGAAATGTCCTCAATACAAAAGTAAATTAATAATAACAGCTACTGAGGGACTTACAAATTCACAGACCTCCAACAGCCGGCACAACTGTGCAGAGGAAGGCAGATGTGTTTTCAGAATCTAGGACCCTGCTCCTTTCCATGGTTTCTGCCCCCAAGCTTATCCAAAACACCTCAATACTTTTTGTGAAAGATGCAGGGATCTGATATATGGCCAACACTCTCTCTCCAGCTAACTCTGCCAGCCCTGAGTCCAGTGCAGAGGTACAAGAGCAAACTTTTGGCAGCCTGGGTCACACTTCTTGCTCTCCCAAGTACCCAAGGCTCCTGCCGCCTTCACTGTCTAAACATCTCCTAGAAAAAGACAGGAATAACATTTCCCAGTTCCTCTTCTACCAAGGAAAGTCAGAAAGAATGCAAAGGCAGTAGAAGAGACGAAACAAGGGGGATGACAGGAGGAAAACTTTATGAGGGCAAACATTTTTTTCTGGACACAGAAGGTAGAAGGGAGAAAGGAAATAGGAGTTACATGGGACATTAATCATCAAATAAAATGTCCAAATCTTTAAACAATAAAACTTTAAAAAGATGTACCTTAGGGAAAAAACTTATTTTTGGCCAAGGTCTGAGTTGGATATTTCTACTTATGCCATTTGTGTGGTTTGTTGGTATTGATTAAAACCAATGTGCCTACCTTAAAAAAAAAAAATAGCTTCTTTAAGGTAAGAAAAACAAAAGACAAACAGAATAGCACCTGAAGCTACCACATGTCCTTATTGGCAATTCTTAAATGAAGAAAGAAATAGAGAAAAAAATTCCTTTGAAAGTGTACCAGTTTCAAGTTTAGAATTAACTACATGGAAGTAATTAAGTAACCAAATTTAAGACAAACAAGTAATTTTTTTAAATGTGCAAAGTTTCCAAGTGATACTGAAAAATATGAATTTAAATGAAAGGCTATACCCCACTCTGTAATTGCATAGCTGCTACACTGATATTTCAACAATATGGTTCACATTCTTCTTCTGACTAAGTAGGCATATCACAATTTGACAACAGTGAAGGTGCAAGGGGCTGTTTAACCTTTGGTTTGTTGGAAGCTGCTTTCTTATTATGCATTTCATTACAGAGTAAAGGATACAGCACTGGCATGATTTATACCAACAAAGACTGCTACACACCGCATTACACTGGACCACTCTCTTTTAAATTTATGTGGTTCTCCTAGATGTCTGTCAATGCAGGGGTATAATAACCCAATCACAGCTGTGGGAAAAAAGAGAAAGAAAATTAAGTTATCTCCAATGTTGTACTGGCGACACTTAAACTAAAAGAATCACTACAACCACCATAAGCATTTTAAAGATTCTTTAAAAAAAAAAAAAAAAACCAAACAAGTTATTTCACATCAATCACTGATATTTTTTAACTTACATTCCAAAATAAACAAAATAAGGATAAAACCAATGAAGAAAGTACTGTGAGTGATTACAAGAACATTCTAAATTATAATAAAACACTCTTCAAATGTATGATTCATAATTTAGCAGACTAGACTAGACGATTCATGCTACTTTTCTACTACTGATGTCTACGAGACCTGAAAAGTATCAAAACAGGAGTTAAGTCATTTCTCTCTAAACTACAAACCATAAAATAGGTATTACATGCCACAATTCTAAAGAGAATCTAGAAGCATAAAAGTATGCAACAAGCTCATCACACACACAATGTTCTGATGGTTCTGGCTGGCCTCTTAAGTAGATCAGTCTCACCCCTACCAGCTTTCCGACATTCTTCTGCATCTAGCACCTTTTACTGACACTCCTTTCCACTCTGGCCCTTTAATGAGGCTGTAGGTCATACTGTCAAAGCAGAAAAACTCACAATAGAAATCTATAGGTAAGACTCATTATACACATAGAAACAATGGAGGAAACAAGGCGTACGGGAATTTAAAATTTTCAGTTAAATTTTAAATGCACAGTTAAAGAAATCATCTTAGTACTTTTCTTAGTTTTGAAAAGAACACCTTGAATGCTGTGTCATTAGTTACACATAACTGTATATAAAATGTCAATGATTGAGTCCCAAAATATTCTTATCCCTTTCTTAAATATTTGTCAAGCCTCAACATTTTATTCATTTAGTGGGAAAGAATTTTAAATGCTAAATTAGTTATTAAGAAGACTATTTAATGAAAACATTCTAACCTTCCTAAAAACAGAATGATTATGTTGTGCCATTCTGGCAATAAAGACGCTATTGTCACATCAGTTAAAAAGCATGTTTAAAATATCAAATACCACTTAAGAGGAATCATGAAATTACAATGCCAAAATCTAAGTGCTTAAGGGAAGGGAAGCACTCCCTCTACCCAGTATTAGCTCACGATATCTCACAGGCAATGTACTCACTCCTCAAAGAAAAACTGAAACCAATTAGTATCAAAAATCACAGGCTAGCAGATCAACGGTGCAGCGTTTGAAAAAGGCTGTGTGACCACCCTTCTATCTCAAGATGAGATGCTGCAATAGTGTATGCATTTTCTAGTCCACAACTCTTTTGAGTTAGGCATTTGATGAGTATAGATGGCTCACAGAACATCAAGAGATTAACAACATATCTCAGCAATGCAGAACTCCAATAACTATCAGTAAATCTAGAAGTTTCATATTACATTCCTATTTAAAAGGCTGCTCCAAAATCTGTGAAGATTAACTGACAGCATTTCTAAATTTCTATATTACAAGTAAAACAGCAACAAGCATCCCTAACAGTTGAAATGTAATTAAATAATTACACCTCTGTTTTTCTCAAGGGGTCATAAAACTAACAGCTCATTTGTCACCCCTCCCATCCATATATATATATATATATCCTCCCTTTGCCTGTTGCTGAGCAAAGTTAGCTAAGAGCAGACATTCCAAGTCAATTTTTTTTAGCAACTGATGCCATAGGTAAAGAATTATCACATAGAGAATACTGACATGTGTGTGCAAAGATCTAAATAAGTAAAATTGACTATATTTTTATGCATGTGATGTCAGACTTGCAAGTGAGAAGACAACTGAGGAGAGAAAGCAAAAACGCAAAAAGAAATTTAAACTGCCACACTGCCAACCCTGGGATTTGCCAATAAAAATCAAATCCATTGAGTATGCATGGTTCTCAGTTGCTCACTGAGAGGAAGAATTCGAAGAAGTTTGTCACTTCCTATTAAATGTCTTCTTTCTTTCCCTTATATAAAGGCATGGCAGAGTCTGATAGCAATATATACAACACTGTGAGGTTCCACTGTTAGAGAGCTCAGCAGAATATGTCTGGGCCTCTTTTCCTCTTCCTGTACTTTAAAAAAAAAAAAAGAAAGAAAGAAAGAAACAAGAAAGACTTAAAATCATGCCTGTGTAAAATCATATGCAAACATAGTCCTGCTTATTAATCAAATGGTTCTCTGATGCAAAAATCACATTTCTTATATCTTTAAGTTATTTCTTAGTGACCAGTTACAGTCTACCAAAGCTAAACACTAAAGAAGTTTGTAAAACATCAAGTAGTAAGCCATCATTTTTTTATGGGAGTGTGCTTAATGCAGTGAGGCACTAAAAGGAACACAGTTAAAGCCAGACATTTTGTAAGAAAACAGGAACTAAATAAAAGAAAACACTCCATGAGATAGATATACTTTGATGGAAAACTTCAAGATAGGATTTTCCTTCAACAAATACTTAAGCCCTGACAATATGTCTGGTTATTTGGTATTTGCTGTAGATTTTAAAAAGCAAAGTTGGGTGTGGTGGCTCATGCCTGTAATCCCAGAATTTTGGGAGGCAAAGGTGGGTGAATCATAAGGTCAGGAGTTCGAGACCAGCCTGACCAACATGGTGAAACCCCATCTCTCCTAAAAATACAAAAAATTAGCTGGGCATAGTGGCAGGCACCTGTAATCTCGGCTACTCGAGAGGCTGAGGCAGGAGAATTGCTTGAAGCCGGGAGGCAGAGGTTGCAGTGAGCCGAGATTGCGCCACTGCACTCCAGCCCAGGCGACAGAGACTCTATGTCAAAAAAAAAAACAAAAAAAAAAAGGCAAAAAGCAAGATGTGATTCCAACTCCAAAGTGACCACAGAAACAATTAAATATGATCCTGCACTAACGGGAGCGCTGACAGGACACAGAGGGGTCCCAGGCTTCTCCTTGTGGGTGCTGGGAGAAGGCAAGGTGCTGGGCTGTCAGAAAAGCTTCCCAGAAAGAGGTGACCTTTGCGGCAGGAAAACTCAGCAGTAAATGGCACAGAAACAGTCCTCTCATCAAAGGGAGATGACTGAGGACAAGCGTGGACAACTGGAAACTGCTGACGTTACGAGGAAGCTGTAAGCTTCTGACACAAAGGGAGCTGCAGGGTCCAGAAAGACTGAGGAAGATAAAAGCAGACGAGGGCCATATTATAAAGATTTTACCCTACAGGCAATGGGCAATCAGGAAATCAATGTCATTACTGTTGTACCACAGAGAGGCCATCTTCTTAGCAGTGAGGGTAACACACAACGGGGCTGGGTACAAAACTAGAGGCAGGAAGAGAAAAGATTAAAGACTCCAAGCACAGCCCTTGAGGGATGGATCAAGAAAGAGACAGAGGAAAGATGTAAAACTTGGAAACTGGATGTTGAAAGGAAGAAAAAGGAAGGAATCTTATAAGGCTCCACAGGGCAATGGATTGCACAACCAAACAGGAAAGATTTTTCTCTTCTTTTTACATTAGACATTACTTTCATGCATTTGGACACAACTAGGCTACTTGTGATTTTTGAGGCAACTTCTCTACTTATTTTATCCACACAAGTTGTCTTTTTTCTATTTATTCTTTGGAAAGATTTCTTTGTGGCCCTTAATAATGCTGAAAAGATTTCTAATTCCAGTTCTAGTACACAGCATACATAAAGAAGTTAACTTGTAACATCGGCATTATCAAACTAAAAATACAGAATTAAGAAAAAAAAAGTCATCGAAATTAGTTTACCGAAGTTCTCTATTAGTTGTCCCTCCAGAAGCACCACTAGCAAATTTTCCAGGATTGTGCTATAGAGAAAAGTGGCAAATAACCAGGAGCACTTTCTACACACAGAAGGTGGTGATTCTGAAGCCCCTCCAAAAGGTAGCTGCTCAGTCTAGGAATGTTAGTTGAAGAGGAAAATCAAAGGATGACTATCAGTTTTTCTGACTTAAGATGGTAAGAATCTAGAGGGGTCTTGAAAATGCATGCCAATGCATATACACAAAAACATACACATATTACATAGATGCACAAACTCAAATACACTATGTTTCTTACATCATGTACTTCTTTCCCATTATATTTTCCCTAAACTAATGATGCAGGGGATGGCAGAGCAGAGACTTTGCAAGAATCTATTTTCCATCTTTGGCACCTTACACAAATCTGGTATCTTGCACTTTCGTCTACTAAACACCATGACTTAACTAACAAAATTGGTAGCAGAACTGGCTGGAACCTAAATGTCCTAATGCCTCTCTACTTTCTTTTGCCCAAGTACTTTATAATACAAACTGCTTTCAGAACACTTAAGCAAGAAATGTAATTGGAAATGCCCCAAATGAAAAGGTATGAGGCTAAGTTTGTAAGTGTGGCAAACCTAGTGGTTGGGAATAGAAAGGAAAGTAGTGGCTGAACTGTGGTATTGGTATTTGAAATTTTCCTTCCTAAAATCTAAGTTTATGGCAAAAGTGCTGACATTACAGAGGCAGAAGGACACAGCAGGTGCAGCCCCATTACTCTTCATAGTGGAGGTACAATGAAACCTCAGCTAAGTTCTCCTGCCCCAGCCCCCGAAGGCACAACACATGCCAGGGAATTCCATCTAGGTCTGGCACCCAGTCTGGAGACTTGAAAAGAGGCATCCTGAGTAGGAGAAAGTGTGAGCAGCTTCTTCTTCCTTCCTCAGCATGTGACACATGGGCCCCAGTCACACCATTTGCTGGCTCTGGGACTCTGGGTTCACTGGTTTTCTTTCTTTATCTCAGCGAGTGTCCTCATCCTCCCAAAACAGGCACAATGCCAAACATCTCTCTCCCAAAGTTAATCTACTGAACCCTGGGATTAGAGGATGAATCTAGCACATTAGCAGACATTCAATAAGCAACACTTTCCCTTTTTTGACCTTCCCTTTGTTCTGTTCTGAAAAGACACATATGTTCTTCCACGTTCCAAAAAACTTCTACTGGCAGCCAGACTATACCACAGAAGAAAAGAAACAAACGACTAAAAAAAGTTAAGAAAACTTTTTTCCTCTGAATTTAAATGCAAGAAAAATGCATGAGGACCAGTACATACAACAGAGAGTGATACAGTATAGCTTGTTTTTTTATTTGGACTGTTTTGCCTTTTCTCTTGGAGGATGATAACCCTGGGGAAACTAAGAATCACTGCCTTCATGACTTCACTCTTAATGTGGAACACAGTAATAGTGAGACATCAGTATATAAACACACTGAAACCTTACTACAACGATGCCCCACTATCCATCCAACAGGATTCTGTAATTGCCCAGTAAGATTCACAAGGCTATTTTAACACTTCTCTAAACTGCAACCTCTAGCTCTTGGATGGAAGCCAAGAAGGATCTATATTATGTTGCAAGATATTCATGCACGTATGTTTAGTATGAGACACCCAGCGGGTATTTAAAAAAGCAATTTTCTTCCTCAATCAGAATTATCTTCTGCCACATAATTATGGTTTCCAATTACTTTATTATTAAAAACAGTATTAATCTATTGGTCTTGGTCATCAGAAAACACTAATGAGCTATCCATTGTGGAAGTATGGCATCAATAAAGTATTGAGAAATGCTCTACTCTATGCATTCATTGCATACTGCCTACCACCAAAAAAATATTCAAAGAACTAACAGGATAATAATTTTTTTTTTTTTTTGAGATGGAGACTCTCTCTGTCACCAGGCTGGAGTGCAGTGGCACAATCTCGGCTCACTGTAACCTCCCCCTCAGATTCAAGTGATTCTCCTGCCTCAGCCTCCCAAGTAGCTGGGACTACAGGCACGCACCACCATACCCAGCTAATTTTTGTATTTTTAGTAAAGACAGGGTTTCACCATGCTGGCCAGGATGATCTCTATCTCTTGACCTCGTGATCCACCTGCCTCAGTCTCCCAAAGTGCTGGTATTACAGGCATGGGCCACCATGCCCAGCCTAACAGGATAATAATTTTAAGCAGAGATAGTCTACCTTGTTGATATCTTTAAACATTTATTATTCTTAAGGTACATATAAAAACAAGATACCAATAAAAAAAAAGCATATCTAAAAATCTAAAAAAATAACACACGAAGCTTTAAACTTGAATCATTCAAGTTTTCAAGTTTTTATTACTTCAGAAACAAGACCACAACACACACATCAAACCCTTAAAACCAAATGGTGGTGCTCACCATCAAAATAACATAAAGTAACACTTAGATGAGTTGAAAAAAGAACAAAATTAAGAGGTTAAATGCTTCACCCCTAAGGGAAACGAGATTGTTTTTAGAATTAAATGTTAAACATTTACAGGTCAGACAGAAATAAGACATAAAGGAGTACACACTTTATGAGTCCACTTATACTGCATTCCAGAACAGAGAGAAATAATTCACGGCAACAGAAAGCACATTAGTGGTAGCCTGAGGCTGGGGGTGGGGAATGGACTGCAAGAGGACACCAGAGACTCTGGAGGGTGATGGAAATGTTCCACAGCTGGATTGGCAGTGGCCACGGGACTGTATGCATTTGCCCAAACACATCAAGTTGTTCACTTAAAACAGGTCTAATGTATTATATCTAAATTACATCTCAACATATTTTCTTTTAAAAAAAAAAAAGGTTTATTGCTCAGACAATGACCATGATCATTTACCCTACTTCCTTTCTAAGCATTATAGAAACATCCTACACATACCTGAAGCTGTGCCACAGCAGGGTGGTACCCACCATGCAGAAGAAAAGATGCTTGCAATCACATCAGGTGGAAAGAGCGTCACATTTCTCTGAATCTGAAGTAAATTTAACACTAATGCAAGAAATACTCCAATAAAAAATAGCACTACTCCTCGAATCATCAAGTTTACACTCTGGCTAGTGACAGATGAGATATACGGGCCACACTTTTTGGGACCAGGTGACTCTGTCTCTCCTTCCGCCATGGTTTCATAGGTTCAGTAAGCCGTTAAAAAAAAAAAAAAGGAAAAAAAGAAAGGCTTCCCAGCTGAAAAGCTCAACTGTCTGTGAATCAAAGACTGACGTTTCAACAGTACCACCACATCTTGTCCTAAAGTAGGACCTACCAGAAATCCTGCAAGAGATAAGAAAAAAGAAATTAATGTGTATCTAATACATATTATTATTTTACTGATTTCAATGCTAGTTAATTTAAATGGACAAATAAGAAAATGACAAGCATATATATGAATTTCTTCAAATTATTAACATTTATTGAATAAGAAAAAGGTTTTAAAGTATTCTTATATGCAAGATGTAATAAATAATAAAGTACTACCATTACATTTATTAGAATAGAAAAAGTGACCTAAGAGACCTAAAGGTTAGAATCATAGTAAAAACAGCTTGCTCCATCTCTGAGAAAAGCAGAACAGGTAATCTGACATCTCCACTAGAATCTGGAGGGTCAAAACCCTGCTCTCTATTTTTTCTCCCTAAATCTCTAAGCCTATCAGTTACAATAGTGTATTTTATATTTTACAGATAAGCATATTCTGACTGAAGACGCTGTATTTTCACAATAAAATGTGACTTGCTTATGAGGACAACTTCCACAGAAAAGCAAAATGACCTGTTGCAATGTTTATTGCTTATATATTTGGATATCTGCACAAAAACATTCTACAAAACCAGATCACCATGCACACACCCACGTATACACCAACCACAGAAACCAGACCTGACTCGCTCTCCTGAGGGGCACAGCTGTCCCCCACCCCTGTCTCAACAGTCTGCCCTGTTGCAATCACAGAAGGGACTGTAAGAAAGCTGGAGGATGAAGCAAAAGAAAGGAAGTGAAGAAAATGAAGAACAATCTAATGATCAGATTCTAAGGAGTTTTATCCACCTTGCCCCTGACTCCTAAAACCCAAAACTTTGCTACCACAATCAGTCTAGGTATTTGTTCGTTCCTCTAACCAAAGTGATCTTTCCTTTTAGGGCTTTCTATGTGCTGTTTTAAGCACCCGACATACGGTAATTCATTTAACCCTCACAATAACCTTCCGAGGTAAATGCAATCATTATGCCCATTTTATAGATAAGGCAAAAAAGCAAAGCAAGGTTAAGTCACTTGGCCTAGTTCACACCTCCAGTAACAGGCAAACCTGGAATTCAAAACCATGCAGTCTGACTCCAAAGCCCTCATTCTTACCCTGATGTTCAGTCTCCCAAACTATAACATATTCTATGTGTTTTCTATGAATACTAACATACTACACAGGCTATTTTATAATTTACTTTTATCCCATCCAACAATATAACTTGGGCACTTTCATAAGTCAGTACAGAAATGATATTTCCTTCAATCTGAAAGCAGTTTATTTTTAAAAGTATAACACTTACAATGATTATAATTACAGGTACAGTTGCTTTATGGATTGTAAATGTTTTATGAAGGTCTTATTCACTATTGTAGTAACATCACTGTGTCCATGCACCCAGAAAAGTTCCCGCTTAGCTCACAATGGGAGCGCCACATAATCATATTTGCTTAACTACACTGGGTTAACTCTTTCTGAATCAAACCATATAGGGTAAACTAGGCCTTTCTGAGAGCAAACCTAGCTCCTAATCATCACTTAAAATATACACATTTCCTTTAAGTTTTCCAGTCTCAAACAACCTTCAAATGAATTTTGGAACAAAACCTTCAAGTAAACTGCAGAGAATGGGGCTAAATAACAAGTAACTAGTAAGAAAATGAGGATATTTGTAAGTACTAGTAACTTCCATAGCCTATCAGTTCCATGTGATTAACACTTAGACAATGGGCCTTTTTACTGAGGCTGTGCCACATCAAAGCTCTATGTCCAACATTCAAGAGGAAATTCTGTTACCAAGCTAGTTCTCGCTGATCTGCTTAAGTCTATAATGTAATTGAACTCTATGGCTTAAAGGACTAAAGAACAGTATAGCTAATTCATGGGAAAACATACCAACTGAAAATACCCAGAAATACCAACTGAAAATGCCCAGAAAACATCTCCACCTGACCTGGTCCTGCAGACCATTCCTTGCTGTGGAATCCAGGCATATTAGCATGCCATGCATTCTGGTTGCTTTTAGCAAGGTTCAGTAGCTACAAAACTCTCTGTCATTATCATCATCTGGTTGCTTTTAGCAAGGTTCAGTAGCTACAGAATCTCCATCATCATCATCATCATCATCTGGTTGCTTTTATCAAGGTTCAGTAGCTACAGAACTCTCCATCATCATCATCACCTGGTTGCTTTTAGCAAGGCTCAGTAGCTACAGAACTCTCCATCAACATCATCATCATCATTACCATCATCATCATCATCATCATCACTCTTTATAGGGCACCCATTTATAGAGGGCCTACTCCATGCCAGACATATAGTAACTCTACTCTTAAAAATAATCATAAAGGTAGGAATTATCATCCTTATTTTACAGATGCGGTTACCAAGTCAAAGAGATTCAGCAACTTGCTTATGGTTACATGACATGCAGTATCAAAACTGAAATTTCATCTCAGGTATAACTGACTCCAAAACCCATCCTCTTGCCTCTATACCTTGAATCCCATTCCATCTCAACTGCTCAGACTTCTGTTTGGCACATGGATCTATATAAAGGTGTTTGGTTACTGAAAAGATGGTTAGATGTTGAAATACCATCTCAACTACAGTTCACTCTAAGGTACTAAGCCAATACAAGTAGGTGACATACAAGTGCACAAGAACAATGAGAATAAATGCACAAACACCTTGACATTTTCTTTAAAAGTACTAGATGAAGGTGTAAAAAAATGTTTTAAAGTGAAAAGAAAAAATAGCAAACCAACACACTATATGAGAACAATAGCTGACTATTTACTTCCCAAAATCCCAATAGACACAACACATTCCCCTCATCTGCTGCTAACAGCTACTAGAAGATGGGCATAGTTTCTGAGTAACGCAAAGTGAGACAGTGTATCATTTGTTTCTGTTTTTGATTTTTCCAAAAGGGAATTAATGGAAAGGGGTATTTTATGTTTAATAGCATTTTTTTATAAAGCAAAATAACTTCCATTTAAAAAAGCTATTTCAGTCATGCTAACCCCCATCTCACACTCACCAGCATTTGTCAAAGGGCACTGGCATTTTAGGCAGGACAATTATTTGCTGTGTGAAACTGTTCTAAGCATTGTAAAACATTTAGCATCCCTGGCTCCCACCCACTAAATGCCCCCTCCCATATTTATGATAACCAAAATTGTCACCACAATGAGAGCCACTGATTGCTGGAGACTTCATTCTATTTCAAGACAGCTGGACTTTCTACACTGTTTATGTTTTCTGCCACAGCTGTTTAGTTAACCTTTCCTGGCAGTGCTTGTTTGGTTTCCTACTTCACCCCAAAAGTTTTCTTTAAAAATAACACACTTGTTTGATGTTTATTTGAATGAGATTCAAAAAGCTCATTTTGTAACTACAACACAATACAATAGTATATAATTACTGGGGACAAAAAAATAAAAGCTTTAAGAAATAGCAGGGAACTGGGAGATCATCTATTCCAAGGGGTATGAGACCACCATACAAAACAAAACAAAAAAGTTGTGTATATGTGCATTTTTCTGGGATGGTTCCACAAAACATATCACGTACTCAAAAAAGTCCATAACCCAAACAAAGTAAAGAACCAGTAATCTAACAGTTCTCTCACTCTACTATCAAGGCCAATGAGATGCAAAGAGGTCAACTGGAATAGCAAGATTAAGACAGTACCATCAGTTCTTATCACCACAAACATGTATAGTGAATGCCCCAAAATGACCAGACTCATCAAATGGATAGAGGCTTCCACAAAACCATATTACCCCCTACCATGCAACGATAAAATTCCTTTAAAAGCGTGTTTATAGTATCAGTCACACACTAGAGGAGTGGGTTATTTTCAAGGGAAAGTAAGTTCCTTTAAGTTTATTTTGAAGTTTGTTTTTCTAATTATGTACTGACACCATTTTCTTAAAACAAAATGTATCTATACCCTTAAATATTAGTCTTACATCAATGATAAACTTGATGCTCCAAAAAAATTTTTGATGTATATTTGAAAAATTTAGATTACTTGATAAATAATTTGCTGACCGGGGAGGAAGTCTCTGGTATAAAGATACTATTTAAAGGACAAAAATCTCAATAGATTCTCGAAAATAATCCTGGTAAACAGGCAGGTGCTATTAGTTCTCATTTTATGAAATCAAATAGGTCAAGTAACTTTCTAAGATCACAGAACTGTTACCAGGTGGCACCAGGACTAGGCCCACCCACTCTGACCCCAGGTCGAGTTCTTCCTGCTTCACCATATTGCTTCCATCCACAAACATGGTACAAAACAATTTAAGCGCCACACAAGAAACCATTTTTAAAATCACGTTGGTAAACTACCATTAATACCAAAATAATGTTTTCAACATTCACAAAGAAAAACTTTCCACCAGACTTGAAAAATTCTACCTTGAGCTCTGGCCTAAAATTTCTGGAAAGTACAATACTGAACAAAAAGAGAAGCAGTTCAAATGATTTGCATAGGTCAATGATGAATCATCAGTACTGGAAAAACATTATTCCAGGTGTATGACTGCCTATTAATGGATTGATAGTATTACTTTTAGATTAAAAAAGAAGATTTAGAAGTGATTATGGGCTTTGTGAATAAAAATTGAAGTTCAGGGTGGCCAATGAAACAACTTAGAAGCAGCAAGTATTTGAAAACATACACACAAAATCTTCTAGTAACCTTAAAACCTGCTGCTTTGTAACAACTGCAACACCCCCAAAACCAAATGACCAGACCATTCCTTCCAATGATTAGCAGTCACAGAAGCATTTTTACTCCCTCAGATAACCCTGTCTCTTCAGGTGCTTAGGTCACATATGCTACTAAATAATAAAGTTAAATTACTATCTCACATCTTTCTCTTCATATACTCTCAATTAGAATAGCATTCTTGAAATAGAAGAAGCACTAACATTAGAAAAAAACAGACTTAAATCAATGAAACAGTTTAATTCTCCCTAAATAAAAACACATCTACATGTATCATGGGCTAGGGACGTTAAAAACTTCTAGGAGGAAAAAAATATATTTGCCTTATAAACACTCCAACTCTTTCAACTTTAAAACCCAAACACAGAAACCAGTAAGCTAGCTGCATTTACACTCCATTACAGCTTTTAAATATCACTTCTTAGTGCCTAAAAAAGCTACTCCACCGTTTCGAGATAAGTTTCTGAGAAGAAACTCTTTACTGAACTGCATTTAATCCTTTGCTTTTCCGTGTGACCCTCTGCAAAAGCAACAGTTTTCAGTTAAACAGAATTAACCTCTTTCCCAAATGTACGTGAGTCACTGCTTGGTCACTGTATAGCAGATATGAACTGAGAACTATGACATAACACAATGACAAACCACAGTACTGAGCACAAAGTCCAGAAAAAGAAAGAAAGAGAAACAGGAAGAGCACACGGCTATTTTTTTTTTCCTTTGGGGCCCCCATTAGTAGCATTCCCTTCATCCATCTTCATTCAGTGCTTCACTAACAGGACCAAACGCAAAAGTTAGAAAGAACCGTCTAGCTACTGTTTGGCTGCTTTTATTTTTTCTGCACCAGGACTAGAGCACGCATTCCCCTGCAGTCCTCAGCTCCACCGCAATACTGATACCAAACAGTATCACCGGCCCAGCTGCCAAGCCTAACCATTCCTTCTTAAAGCACTTCTTTATCAATCCTACAAAACAGCAAGTTCTTCGTGGTCTATTTTCCTAGACTATCTAGCTAATATCATACTTTAACAACTTTTTCCAATGTTAACTGGACACGGGTCATATCACTTAAGTGTTAGCACCATTGCCGGCGCCCACCCCCATAATCCACACTGTTTTCCTTCTCCATAGTGCCAATCTCCAATGAGCGACCCTAAAATCCAGTAACTATCATCAAATCCACAAACATCTATTCCAAAGGTATCCAATTACAGTCTAAAACGCCAGAGTCCTACTCCTCAACCCAACGCCCTATCTTTTTAGTGGATTCTAAACTTACTATGATATCTGCCTTCTTTGGATCCATCCCCCGCCCAAGCCTGAGTCGCGTCCCCCAGGCTACAAGCCTCCCATTCCTGGCAGTTCTATGTTTTGACAGCTCGCTGACCTCCACCTCATCAGACCTCTGGGTCGCCCTTCCTGCCGTCCTCCAGCCTTCTTCCCGCTCAGACACTCATCCACAGTCCGAGGGGCCTCGACGCCTTCTAGGACCCTTCCCCGACCCCGCAGTCCCCTACTGGACCTAGCGGACTCCTCTCAGGTAAGCGGAGCCCCCGGCCCTACAGGCCCATCAGTGGTCCTGGCTCCCCGCACCTGCCACCAGGGTTCCCAGGCTGCAAAAACACAAGTACTTCTTCTTCCCGACGGCCACCCTTCTCCTCAGGCCACTTCCCTCAGCACCACATCACCCGCGCTTAGCCGGGAGACCCCCAACTCACCCCCGCCTCCGCCATCTTCTGGGACCAGCCCCCGTACCCCCCACCGCCTCTTCCTCCTCCACTCCCACAACTCCGCCCGAGCTCCACTGCGCTTGTGCAGCTAACGCGGCCACGCGCAGGCGATCGGGGCAGAGAAGCTTCCGGTTCCTGCCGGCAATAAGACGTGGACCAGCGAGCCGGGGCAAAAGGGCTTCCGGTCTGCGGAAAACGGGCTGCTAGCGGTGGGCGTGGATAGTCGAGGTGACTGGAGGCTGTCGGATCAGCTGTTGTTTGCTGACCAGGCAGTAGTGGGTAATGATGGATGCCCAGACCCTGTGGGCGGAGCAAGGGAATCATGCAATGAGACACGCACACACACCGGGAGGCGCGGCCGCCTGCGTGACCCTCATCTCGTAGCCTAAAGGGGCGCGCTCCGGAGCAGGCCGCCGAGTACTTCCAGCAGAACACCGGGCATTATATTCTGCTCCTTTTCCTCCCCGAGTAAGTTATAACTTGGAGAGAAGAGCATAGTTGTCCCTCGTCTCCATGCTACAACACTTTATGCGCTTTTCATTCAAAATAGTTTCTCGAGGACTCCAAAGTAACGTGATTGGGGCCGGGGGTGGGGGGGAGTTTTTATAGGAAGGGCTTTAGAAGTTTACACCAACAGAGAAAATTTTAAAACCTTTAACGGCTTGTCAGAAGTATTATTTTTCGTTTAAAACCATACTTTTAGAACATGAAACCAAACCAAACAGATCTTTGGAATTGTGCAGATGAACTTTTTTTTTTTTTTATGAAAGTGATGCCATCATTGCAAACCAAGCCCTTATATAAGTGCCGAAAGGTATTCATCATAAGGAGTTGCTTCTCTACTCTTTGTTTTTTTAAGCAACTCTTTTTTAAAAAGAGAGAAAAAAAAATCTCTCTTGAATGTATTACGTTACTGGGCTATTACATTTGGGGTAGGTTAACCCAAAACATGTTATGGATGTGGTAAGGTTACAATGGACTTGAATATTCTAGATGAAATCTCGGCCGAGAGTAAATACGTAATAGTTTTCCAAAGACTGTCTCCTTTCATTTACTTTGAACTGATAAATGATAAGGTGGATTTTTATTTTTCTGACCTTTTTATCTACATTTATTTCTGAAAATTGAAAAAGAATCAATTTCCAACAAAACGTTTCTAGGCAAGTATTGTATGATGCTTCTCTAATGTTTACTATAACACTCAGTGTTTTCGCTAATGTTTTCTGTCGCTGTCAGATTTCACTCCTGTAAGTTTTTACGCTACCAGTAAGAAAGATCTGGGCCAATTGTACAGAATGGACGATAATTTTTAAAAGAAAAGAGAAAGTACTCAGAAAAGAGACAATAATTTCACAGTGTTCTGACATCACGTATTTCCTTAAAGCAATACAAGTCCTGTATGTCCCATTTCATGCCTACTCCAACCGAGCTTTTTTCAGACACTTAGAAATTGCCTTCAAGAAAATCCTTATGGAAAATCTTAACCTAGAGGGGCATTTACTTTAGCTTAAATATTTATGAATTGCAAGTAGTGACAGAACCTAAAAAGCAAAAGCCATATAGCAACAGTTCCCAAGATTCCTACATCCAATGCAGTTATTCCTACCATGGTACAAGGCAGAATGTAAAACCCCCAGGAGACATACAAAGGGCCATTGTCGTCTTTGACCAGGTTTGAGGACAGTTTTCATGGAAGATGTGGTCTTTCAGTGGGCATTGAGGGTAAATATGCAGATATGGTAAGCCTGTGCATTCTGGTGGAAGCTCAGAGTTAGAAAAACATGAAACATTGTAGAATCTGTCATGTAGAAAGAGGTATGGTGAGACATGTAAGTTCTAAACATGAAGCTCACGAATTTGGACTAAATTTTTGTTATGGAAACACTGAAATCCTAAATTAATTGATGCCAGAATATAAATTGTTTAAGAACATCAAGAAATCATAGTAACTTTGAGTTATCTTGAAGTTGGTATAATGCAGTCAATGGAATGCTGGTGAATGATCCTTTAAACCTGGATTGTAGTTTGGCACTATGGCAACATGTGTGTAATCGCATCCAATAAATTCAGTTTTTTAGGCTTTCTTTTCTTGGGCATCTGTAAAATGAGAGATTGGTCTATATAATTTCTGAGGTCTTTTTCATAGGTGAAAGTATCAACAATTTTGTAATTCTTGACTTCAAGAAAGGTTTTTTTCCATTAGCTTTATGTGTTGTTTGGTCTCTCAACAGAACAGATCAAAACATAAGTTAGAAAACAAAAAGCCCTTTACTTAGCTAATACAAACACCCACAAAAGTCTTTTGACCTTGCTGGAGTGAGATATTGTGGGACTCACCTTAATTATTGCCTACAGGTTGATGACTAAGACATTCAGTAAGCCTCTAAGAACTTTGAACTTGGAAACATTACCCAAATTAAAAACACCCCAATTAATATTTTTTTAAATACTGCAATTTTCCTAGTCAGTAGCTAGAACCCCACACACCAGAGGCCATTCTACTTTTCTGGTTTTTATTTTTGTTACAGTGTTTTGATGTGAGATTTAGTTGAGGGACACAGAAAGTCAAGAAATTTTGCTTTTTGGAGATATCAGGATGGATTATTTATTAATCCAGTGATCACCTGAGCACCTGGCAGGTTCCAGACACTTGGCATTGGACTTTAGGAGGAAATCAATACAGACAAGGCACCTTCCCTTGTGAAGCTACAGTCCTGTGGGGGAAACACAGTAAATAGTGGAATTAATATATAATTACAAACTGAGATAAGTGCCGTGAAGATAGAACATCTCCATACTGTTCTCCTGTGAAAGAGAATAAAGGGGAATACCTGGAGACTATGGGTTAGTTGAAGTTTGAGAGGGATCTGCTAAGAGCAGGATAAAGAACAGATGTGAGGGCACAATAGCTGAAAAACTTGGTGCATTCTGGGGATTGAAAGAAAGACAGAGCTGGGGTAGCAATTGAAAAGAAAATTATAAATTGAAGTTGTTTTTTAGCATAATGATTGATGTTAATCACTTTCTGTGTGCCAGGCACTATGCTAAGTAAAATCTCATTTTACATGCTCAAAACCCATTTGAAATAGATACCAAATAGCAGATGAGAAATTAAGGCTAAAAGCAGTGATTCTTAACTTTGGCCGCATATTAGGATCATCCATAGATTTATTAAAAGTTCTAGTGCCTGAGCCCCACCCTTTGTTTATTCTGTGCTCTTTTAATAAATTCCTTATATAATTCTAATGTGTAGCCAGTGTTGAGAATCACCAGCTTAATGTTAATTTGTTCAAGGTCACTTTATAACTAAGTGGCAGAGAAGGCAGAAAGTGAAGCTAGATCTATTGGATTCTAAACCTGATGCTCTTAGCCACTCACTAGTGCCCTGTCAACATTCAAAAGCATATAGTAAACAGCAGTTATGTGTGGGAACTCTGTTAAACACTGAGATACAATGATGAGTAAGACAGAGTTCTTGACATCAATAAATTCACAGACTAGTAAAGCAGAAGTTAGGTCAGCGGGCATGCACAGAAGCAAGTCAGCTGAGAACTCTCAATGAGGTCAGATATGTTTTTCCTTTTTAAGCTAGATGGGTGTAGGTAACTGATGGCAGAGTATCTATGTAGGCTGCTAGTGGGATTGTCAGCTGAGAGGTGGTGTACACTGAACAAAGGCAATGGCAGAGGATACAAAGAATCGTCAGGATTTGCTGACTGCTAATGTTGAGAGTGAAGAAAAGACGGTAGAAGATGATTTCAAGGTTTTGAGTTTGAGAGACTAAGCGAAAGTAACATCATTGATCTAGAACTAGTACAAGAATTGAATTTCAGGATGAATGAGTTCGAAATACTTGTTGAGCATTCAGGTAAAAATGTCTGGTAGAGCAGTGGAAATGTGCATCTGGAGTTTGATCCGCAAATTGGTCTAGAAATGAAGACCTGGAATTACTGACTTATAGGAGGTAGTTGAAACCATGCTTTGTATAACACGTATGCAGTGTATGGAATTTGTTAAAAGATAGTAGAGTTAGGAGAAAGAAAAAACCCTGACACTGCCGTACTTGAATATGTCAATAAAGCTATTTTTTATCTACAGTGATATTAAACAGAATCAATTCATGATTATCCATGATGAGTTTTTAATACTTTCTAGGCTTTCCTTGGCCACACAGTAAATATAATAGATGAGATGTAGCCAGGGAATGCAAACCAATTTTAAATATTGGCTAGATATTTAAGAAGAATGCCATACAATGCATTCAGAAATGCAGTAGGAATATCCTAGAACAGTGTTTTCACACAAATAATTTTTTTTTTTTTTGAGACGGAGTTCCGCTCTTGTTACCCAGGCTGGAGTCAATGGCGCAATCTCGGCTCACTGCAACCTCCGCCTCCTGGGCTCAGGCAATTCTCCTGCCTCAGCCTCCTGAGTAGCTGGGATTACAGGCACGTGCCACCATGCCCAGCTAATTTTTTGTATTTTTAGTAGAGATGGGGTTTTACTATGTTGACCAGGATCGTCTCGATCTCATGACCTCGTGATCCACCCACCTCAGCCTCCCATAGTGCTGGGATTACAGGCTTGAGCCACCACACCCGGCACAAATAATTTTTATATACCCCTCATATTGACTTAAATTATTTTGATCATAATAGTACGTAAACCTGAAAAAGCTACAATGTTCTAAACATTAAAACTAGAGAGAGAATTCTTAGGCTTAAACTCATATACACCATAAAAGCAAAACATTTGCAAAATAACTATGAAGAAAAGCATAAAGTAAGTAAGCGTAAAAGTATAGTAATGTTAAAGGACATCTTGAAATTGGTGTATAATGTCATCAATATTGAGGTGGGTGGTGGGGGGCAAGGGGAGGTTTGCACGTCAAAAGCTCCAAAAAAGGAGGAGAATGAGGACATTTATCTTTTAGTGGCATAGCACTTTGGGGGCATTTTTTAATGGGTCTGTACGGAAGCAATGACAACTAAAGTCAATAAATTGAATGTATATAATATCAAATGGTCCCTGTAAGGCTTGGTGTGTATCATCAGGCAGCAAATAAACTAAACAAAGCCCAAACGAGGTCACTATGGATGAGCAAGCA